GGAGCCGAGTCCAAAGAGGTGGTCGTGAGGCCGGGTCAGAGCCCTCGGACGCTGCCGGGAGCAGGAGGAGCTGGGCACGGACGGGAGGCCGAGAGGCCGCAACTGGGCCTGGAGAGGCCGGCCTGAGGAAGTTCGGGGCATGGAGAGGCCGCCAAAGACAAAGGCTGGGCCCGGAAAGGCCGTTCCCCGTGACGAATGAGCGGGGCCTAGTGAGGCCACTGGGAGGCAGGAGCGGGGCCCGGCGCAGCTGCCCAAAGGCAGGAGGAGCTCTGGCCTGGGGAGGCTGCAGTCAGGGGAGAGCTGGGCGTTGACAGTCCGCCGGGAAGCAGAGGCTGGGCCTGTGCAGGCCTTCGGGAGGCAGGAGGGTGGACCTGGCGAGGCGGACTGGAGGTCAAGTCCTGGGCCTGAGGAGGCCCCCCAGAGGCGTGAGCGGGGCTGGGCCTCAAGAGGCCAGTGGCAGGCAGGAGGAGCTGGGCCTGGAGAGGCTGACCTGAGGAAGTCTGGCAGCTGGGGAGGCCGCGGAGAGGCAGGAGCTGGGCCGGCGGAGGCCGACTGGGCGACGAGTTGGGCACGCAGGGGCCACCGAGAGGCAGGAGCTGGGCCGGCTGAGGCCGACTGGGCGACGAGTTGGGCACGCAGGGGCCGCCGGGAGCAGGAGCGAGCCCTGGAGAGGCCCACTCGAGGATAGAGTGGGCCTGCAGAGACCGCCGGCAGGAGAAGCTGTGCCTGCAGACACTGGGTGGAGGAAGAATGGGGTGTGGAGACGCCATCAGAGGGCAGGAGCCGGGCTCGAAGAGGCCACCGTGGGGACCGCCTTCAGGACGTTTGGGGCCTAAAAAGGCCGCGGAGCGGGAACTGCGCCGGATCCGAATCCAAAGAGGTTGTCGTGAGGCCGGGAATGGGCCCGCGGCCGCAGCCGGGAACAGGAGGATCTGGGCCCGGACAGGAGGCCGGGAGGCCGCAACTGGGCCTGGAGAGGCTGGCCTGGGGCCCGGCTTCAGGACGTTTGGGGCCTAAAAAGGCCGCGGAGCGGGAGCTGGGCCGGAGCCGAGTCCAAAGAGGTTGTCGTGAGGCCGGGGCTGGGCCCGCGGCCGCAGCCGGGAGCAGGAGGAGCTGGGCCGGGACGGGACGGGAGGCCGCAACTGGGCCTGGAGGGGCCAGCCTGGGGAAGTTCGCGGCCTGGAGAGGCCGCCAAAAGGCAAAGGCTGGGCCCGGAAAGGCCGTTCCCCGTGACGAATGAGCGGGTCCTAGTGAGGGCACTGGGAGGCAGGAGCAGGGTCCGGCGCGGCTGACCAAAGGCAGGAGGAACTCTGAGCTGGGGAGGCCGCAGTCAGGCGAGAGCTGGGCGTGGAGAGTCCGCCGGGATGCAGAGGCTGGGCCTGTGCAGGCCTTCGGGAGGCAGGAGGCTGGGTCTGG